TTGGTTGAATGAGTGCGATGCACAATTCCAACATTTATGTCGACCTTTAGGTTACAACTGTTTCTGTTGGTTTGAGAGTAAATGTGAAATGTGTCAGTTGTGTTCTAATAACGTACACTGTGTGTTTTTCTGTTGCAGAACCCCAAGTCGTCCATCATGTCGGCAGAGAAGAGAGCTCGTCTGAGGAGTAATCCAGTAAAAGTGCGCTTTGCAGAAGAGGTGGTGGTCAATGGGCACACTCAGGTAAGAACATTTTCTTCAACACAGCGTTACAGCTGTTGTAATCCAAAAATGGACAACTCGTATTTCTGGATCTCACACATCTTCAATCAGTCTTTATTTGGTCTTATTGTCCAGACTGTCATGTTGTCATTTTGTAATGTATCGGTCCACGTTTGATATTGATTTTTGTCTAACCACACAATGAAATCTCTCACATCTCTCCATCAGGGAAACTCTCTTCTCTTCCTGCCCAACGTCCTAAAAGTATATTTAGAGAACGGGCAGACTAAGGCTTTTAAGTTTGACAACACAACAACTGTCAAGGTATGTTTTTCACTTTTTAACAACAGAGACGTCATTTTATCAACTATACTAACTCATTCATGTTTCAGCCAAGTCACTTTTACTGAATCTTGAAATGAAGTTGGGTAAATAAGAGTTTGTAAGTTGATTCAGATGGCTGTTCGATACAAATCTTGACTTGCTGTTTGTTTTTTACTTCAGTTGAACAAGAAAACTTATATCAGCCTTCATGAGTCTCATTTTTACCTGTCAGACTCACGTTCAGCAGAATTTTATTGAACACGCGTTTGACTTTAACACATTTCAGCTGAGGTGCTGCTTTAGCTCAGAGGTTAGAGTGTGAATCTCATGTGTAGTTCCTGTAGCAGCGACGCCCCAGGTTTGACTCTAGCCCTCTGAATGTTACTGTATGACATCATCCTACTCTCACTTCTCTCCTTTCTCTCTCTTCAGCTGCACTGTAAATAAAGCAGAAAATGGCAACAACAGAAAAGAAAAAAAAACAGTTTAATCTGACTAAGTTCTAGTCTCTCCAGTCACCTCACTGCTGTATTTAGTTAATTTAACAAGTAGAGTTTGTCTGCTACATTCAGGGTATTTACTGATTGTAATCATCATAAGCTGTGTCTGTTTTGGAGAGGAAAAGACCCCAGCATAACATTTTGCTCTTGTAAAAACCTTGGAAAAAAATGGAAGGGTCATTCGGAGAACCTTTCGAGTAAACATGCCACCATGCTGCGGCCCCCTCCATTTCTCTTCATATAATGAAGCTACTGTAAAGCAAAAAAAAAGTACAGATACTGATAGTCAACTCTTTTTCATGAATGTTTCAAATCGACTTTCAGTGGGCAGGTGTAGAAATCGCTTGATGAATTCTGTTTCTGTCTGAGTCAGAAGACAGCAGCATCAATCTTGGGCGACTGACATGTTTGTCGATCTGATTACCATAGCACACTGTTTAATCATTTATATGACAAAACCTTTATGCCAAGCTTAATAAAGTAAATGTACATACAGTATGTTACTGGAAGTAATGATGCACAGTGTAATCATGTGATTCATCTTCACTCCACAATATCTGATGCAATGCCCACATTATTTTCCTCAAAAGATGTGATCATTGGCTCCCTCAGTGTCAGCAGTATGAGCCGTGAAAAAGCTTCCTTGAAACTAGTGGGTGTATTTTGCAGTTAAGCACACCACACATTATGGTGTGATTTGCCGCAAGGCTGTGAGGCTGTGGGTAGACTGTTCTTAGTGGTTCTTAATGATTGGAATGCTAAAAATGATTAATCATATTGTTTCTAGAGGGCAGAAGTTATGAAACACTTAAAAGTAAGCAGAGGAGTTTCAGCAAGAATCATGGGATTTTGTGAGGAATGCAGAGCTGGATAATGGACGTCCCTCTAGATATCCTCTGTAAGTCCAGTTTGATATCTGGAGAGAGAATTATTAATCATACTAAATGAACATCATAATGAGACGAGAGGTAGGTCACTGAGTCCTAAATCACCACCACAAGGTTCATATCTACTGTTGTGTTTATTGGGAAGTTTTATATTTGTATTTCAGTTTCTATTCACAGTCAAAGGGAAACTAAGGGGGTCTGATTTAACCATCAGACCAGGATGGGTTTGTCTGAGGGGGGTCTGAACTGTTCTTTTCCATCCGTTCCAGGACATTGTTCTGACTCTGAAGGATAAACTGTCCATCCGAGCCATCGAGTACTTTGCACTGGTGCTAGAGCAGCAGTACAGCATCACCAAACTCCTGCTGCTGCATGAAGACGAGCTCGTACAGAAGGTGAAAGAAACAATGGACACGCAAAAGTAGTCGTGAATGACTGTTTATATTAGGTGTAATTCACTTCATTTTGATGCAATGTTAACATGAAAACGTTTGAGTAGACCTTCTAACAAGCGAATACAATCCAGCTAAGAGTGCATGCAGTGGTGTGATGTTTGTACCTCTATTATTTGTTTTCATCAGGTAGTGCAGAAGAAAGACTCCCATGACTACAGATGTCTATTCAGGGTGTGTTTTATCCCCAGAGACCCCACAGACATGCAGCAGGATGACCCCTCTGCTTTTGAGTACTTCTTTCTACAAGTAAGATTCCCTTCTTTACAGTCCTTCTTTCTGTCTGTTCTTTTTGTTGTATAACCTCAATCAGACGTTGACCCTTGCTCCAACTGACATGCATGTAAAAACAAATCCACTAATAAAGTTTAAATACTCCTATGTAACATATGTAATTTAAAATCTTTTGCTTAATACAATTTCCGAACTGCAACTAGCTCATGAAACCTTCTCTGAAACTGAAACAAAAAAATATGACTTTCCTGTATATTTCCCCTGACAGTTTTTGAGTTAAAAAAGAAAAAGACTAAGTTATTTCCTGAATACACTTGGGGATATATTTCATTTGTCATAAACATTTATTTTTTGTACCATAAAGTTTTTTCCTCCTGTTGTATTTCCTGTTTGACTATTAATGGCAGTTTGGTTGTGCTAATGTCGACTTGCTTTTTTAAGTACTTTCAAGCTGTGTATTGTGAAGGTGCTGAGGTTGTTTATGTTTCCAGAGTGTTGGGGATGTGCTGCGGGAGCGTTTTGCAGTCGAGATGAAGTGTAACACTGCACTCCGCCTGGCTGCTCTGCACATGCATGAGAGACTAGATAGTTGCGGACAGACCAGAACCTCTATGAAGAGCATAACGTGAGTCATGTTTGCATGTGCATTTATTTTTAGGGCCACGCAGGTAGAAACATTGTGGCACAGGCTCAAGCAACTGTGGTCATCCTGATTTAATTTAATTTGTTTGAGATAAGGGGATATGCTATATGAATGATCTATTAATGTGATCCATTGCCATAGAATGTGTGCAGACATAAATACTCTGACATTATAGACAGACTTTTGTTTTCACCGCAAAGGAAATAATGAAGTAGTCATACATAAAACGGCATTCAGTTACTCGAGGGAAAAACGATTCAGCATGTCTCATATTTATTCTTTATATGTCGTTTTTTGTTTTCAAGCTTAAGGACTGTTAGATTACTTCACTGTCAAAGAGATGAAAGCTGAAACTGAATTTTGTGTAGGGCTTTCACCTTGTTTCTCAATTTCACAACGCTGTTAACACACACCTCTTCTCCATGTGCACACTGGGCTGGTGACACAACACCTAAGCTATATAGGAAAAAAGCTAATGCTAGCCTGATCTTCAAAGACTCATATGTGTATTTCATTTTCTGTAGTAAACTGACAAAAAGCTAGCAAGACATGATGCGTTAAGATACCAGTTACTAATATCCATTCTAAACGTATGCTGTCATGATGGGACAGGATTTGCTATGATGCAAACATAAGGAGCTGCTAAAAGTAAAAGTAAAAGTATGATGCTAAAATTAGCTGCGTCAAACTGCATGTTTCTTATCTGTCTGACAAAGCCACACAGGATTTGACCTTCTGTGATCTCAGACTCACCTTTCAAATGTTACACCAATATTAATTCCTTTTGGGCAAACTAAATCAAGTGCTTATCGCATGGGGAGTTGTAGTTCAATTCTTTTCGTATTTAATCACAGAGTTCATATGTGGTTCAATGATTCCCGTGTCTTTGTGATGACAGGAAGGAGTTTGGCCTCGACAGCTTCATCTCTCCTACACTGCTGAGTAACATGAGGGAGAAGGACCTCAGGAAAGCCATCAGCTACCACCTCAAGAAGATCCAGTCCCTGCTTGAACCACGCCAGAAGGTAGATACTTACTGATTAATAAGTGGAAGGAAGCACTGAGATGGTGTAAAGAGAAGCTTCTTGACCGTTTTGTGGTGGATTTAGGTTACATTTTAGCTGACACAGTGGCTGCTAATCTCCCAGAGGTTTAAAGCAGTGTAAGGGGTGACAGAAGGTTGGGAGAAAAAATGGTGGATGGAAGTGTGATTAAAATCAATAGTAGGTCTGGGGCTTGTATAATGTTTCTAAGAAAATGAGTGGGGCATATTTCTCTGTTGAGGGCTTTGATTTGGTCAGTGAGTGAACCTTGACTTACCCTCTGGGTTTCTTTCATTCAGTTTTTTTTTCTCTGACTCTAATTATTTTCCCTGTTTTTATGTCCACTGTGGTGTTGTAGGTAATATCTGCTAGTCAGGCCCGCTTGGCTTACCTTACTCAGCTGGGAGAGCTGATTTCATACGGAGGACGATCATACACAGCTACAATGATGGTAAGGGAATAAAGAAAGTTGATGAAGCATACACCATATAACTGATTCAATTTTCTTTAAATTGTATTGTTCACTTTTGTTGTTATCTAACACACTTATCCATGTTCTTTTTCTTTTCTAATCTGATGTCTCCTTTTTCACCCACGCTCAGCTTCAGGATAGGGAGGTATTAGTCAGCCTGCTTGTGGGAGCCAAGTACGGGATGAGTCAGGTTATCAACCACAAACTCAATGTGATTTCTACACTGGTGGAGTTCAGCAGCATCAGCCGGGTCGAGCTGCTTTCCGAGTCAGACAAAGTCAGCCTACTGCGCATTTCACTGCATGACATGAAGGTATGGAAGAACTTTATTCATATAGATAGTAATCAAGATAGTGGGCTGTATTATTCATAAATGTGTAGACACTTGTACACTGTCACATACAAAACAGATTGTATTCAGTCGCTATTTGTGCTAAAGCTCATGCTAGAGTAAATATAGGCCAAACATTTTCCTCTAATGCACATTGTAAAGCCTAAGGGGGTCTGTGGTAGCTATATAAAGCTAATTCACTCTACTCAAAGGTGACTCTTTCTTCTTTCTCCCACTCCATCGCCTTTTGTCCTTTACCCTTTGGCCTTAATTACTACCACTTTACCTTATCTTCTGAAATGCCCTCCCCCTTTCAGCCATTTGCCTTACTGATGGACTCTCTGGCAGCCAAAGACTTAGGGTGTCTGCTGGGAGGCTACTGCAAACTCCTTGTGGATCCTAATGTCAGTGTCTTCCGTCTGGGGCGCCCAAAAGTGAGGGTGCACCGGATACCTGCTGAAGAAGGTGTGTGTGGGAAGTTCGCCGTAATAGAGGGCGTGTGCTATGAATCCCTATCAAGTGAGCAAAAATTGTATCACTTAAAATCATCCCTTTCTGGCCTTGGCCTTTTTGATAGACATTTATCACATCCTATGTTGATGTATGTCACCAGCAGTACGGGTACGGATAGAAAAATCAGACCATCATACCATCATTATTTAAACTATTCTACTCTACAAATGGACTGACTAACTAATGTGTAATATTTGTCTGGTGTTTGTGCATTTTCTTCATGTTATTAGGTTATGTGTCTCGCTGCTGTAGTGACTCAGATGACTCAACAGATGAGGATGACCCAATGGATTCTCAACGCCCAGACCCAGCAAGTCAGGACTGGGAAGGACGAAGGAGAGAGGAGGAAGAAAAGAGAAGAGAAGAAGAAAGAAGAGAAAGAGAGGAACACAAAGGAAAACAGGAAGTGAAGATAATAGTGACAACAGAAGGTAAGGAATATGAAGGTGAAGAGGAAGGAGGGGCAACAGGAAGTGGTCTGCGTAAATCTAGCATAATGGATGAAGAAATGAACCTGGGGTCCACCTGGTACCACACAGACCCACGGGTCACCTGTAGCTTCTCTAGTTTGTCCAGTGGCTCCTTGAGTGCTGCTCTGGAGGACAGCAGTGCCACTGCAAACGCCCCATCTCGGCTAGGCACACACTGTGGACAACACACAAGTGAGGATCAACCAGGTTTGGATGTTCACCACCCCTTCCTCCTAGAGCCCAAACGCCACCAAGGGCCCCTAAGACCTACCAACCTTAATTACCGCAGCAATGACAACTCTTGTCTTTGCTTTGTGGAGTTATCCAAGGCTGATTTCCTCCCAGCCCACCTGAGGCTACTACGGATGATGACGATGATGATGAGGACGATCAGGAAGAGACAGGAGTGCAGGAACTCAGACGAATATCTAAGATCCCAAGTTCGAGAGATTTAAGAATGATTGACAGTACACCCTTTGACAGATCACCCATCAGAAGAAAGAAAAAGACCCCCCCCAAAGTCCCGTTAAGAACGAGTTCAATTCCTCGCCACAGTGTAGGAGAGGCTGAACACCATCTCTCCCAGGATGAAGAGGGTCTCTTCCTTACACCGTCACCCAATCCCAAACCTGCTCTTTTAGTCAAAGAGACCGTTTCAGACTCTGAGGAGGAGTTTTTTGACGCACAGGAGAGATTTACTCCCCCAGTTCCTGATCTATCAGGTTTGTTAACAGGGTGATTGCTATGACTTTGTAGTTAAATAAATCCTTCTTGTGCTCTGTGTTGGTCTTTGGTTAAAAGCTAGCATTGTGACAAGATACAACAGTATTGCAACTTAAAGTGATCGAATGAGAAGAGACAAATATTTGTATAAATCTATTAATGCATTTCTTTCTCTGTTCTTTGCTTTTCCATTTCTCTTACTTTAACAGATGCTGAGCTTGCTGACAGGCGCAATGCTAACCGGTTGAGTGGAACCTGGAACAGTCTTCCAGCTGTCCCAGGGAAACAGCCACCCTCCCCCCTTGCCAATGAAGCCAAATCCTCTAAAAACAAGACTGAAGTCAAGACACTTAAAGGTTCCAAAAGCAAACCTACCAACCAACATCCCAGTTCACCAAAGCCATCTCAGAAACCTGAAGTCAAGGTCAAACCACCATTGGCACCTAAGCCCCAGCTGCCTCCCAAACCTCAGACCATTCCTCCCAAATCCCCCCAGAATGGGAGATCATATGCCCACTGCAATGGAGATGCCTCTGGACATCTGTCCTCTGAACTCTTGGAAATGGAGCCAGACACAATGGAGTTCAAGTCTGTCACATCTGGGGCAGGCGGAATGCCAGTGTCATCACCCTTGATCACAGCAGTGTGGTGCAGCAAGCAACCAGTACCAATAACAACAGCCCGAACTGAGGAAAAGACAACAGTGAAAGAAAACAGCCCAAAACAGAGTAAAGATATAATGCATAAGAATGGTGCACACTTAGTGTCCAATGATAAAGCATGCATTAGTGATGGAAAACAAAGTCCTAACATTGAGCAGAAAAGCAATGGGACTGCCTTACCCACAAAAATGTCACCAAACCTACCATCTATCCCACGTTCAAATTCAGGTACAAAGCTATCTGTTCCTCCTCCTGTGCCCCCAAAACCCACTTCTCCCATCAATTTCCATCCACTATCACTACCTGCTAGCTCACCAGTCTCCCCAACTGATCCAAGCAAAGGCATATTTAAGGATAGTGTCAGTCCACCAAATGGACTCCACCCTTGGAGCAGCCGTAATGGAAGCATCCAGTCAGGACCTCGGCGAGTATCCCTGAGTCATGAAAGCCTGTCACCAAAAAATACTGATGCACCTCTCACACTTACATCCTCCCTCAACTCAACTAACTCCAAAGGAGTTGGGGGCCTAGAAACCAGGGAACCCGGAAGGTCTGGATCAGGATCAGATCTGAGGACGAGTTCTTCCAGCCTTGGGGGTAGACTTCCAGCTTCTGCACTGAGAGGGAAGATCCAGGCTCTGCCTTGGTACATGACCCGTTCTCAAGAGATTTTGGGAACTTTAGACTATCCATCCACCAGCTCCATCAATGGGGATACCTCTGGCTTTGGCTCTGGTTTGTCTGTAGCTAGTGGTTTATCAGATCTAAACAAGACCCCTGTTAAAGAAAAAGAGACTGTAACTTCAATGTCAGTAGGGAAAGGGAACACTTTAGAAGATGGAGCTGCAGTTGTCATAGCCACCATCAAGGAGGCCCAGGAAGTGACCTCACACATGAAAAAGGCCAATGGAACAAATGGCTCCAGTCCTGACCTGAGTTTGAAAGATATTAGTGCACACCGTGGCAGTGTTTCATCAGAGCAGCCTCAATCATGGTCCCATTCAGCAGTGGGGCTGGGAGGTGTGTCCAGCATGCAAATTGGAGGAGACTCACCAACCTCCTCGCTGGCAGATAGTACTCCTCCACAGCAGCAGCAGCGGGAGGCTTGTGGCTGTCGCACAGTTTATGCAAACTGTTTCAGCGGAGACACGGAGGATGGTATAAGCTTTGATGAAGAGCTTACTGTTTATGAGTTCTCACGTCGCACACGCCCAAAACCTGCCAAAATTGCCACTGTTCCTTCACCTACAACACCTCCTCCAAACCCAAACATCTTGTCATTGCTTAGGGACAACCCTCGTCCACTCTCTACCTTCTCCACTGCCTCCTCTGAACTGAGTCCCTTAGTTTCCCATCCGGTGTCACCAACAAACTCAGTTGGTTGTCCTCTTCGTTCACTTACCAATAAGAATTATGGTGGGCTAAAGGGAGGTTTTGCCTCCCTACGTCAAGACATAGACCAACTGCTGCTGGTCTTGGAGAGGGGAGCACTTGAGCAACAAGACTCAAAGCAGAATCTCACAGGCATAGAAGTAGGGCCTGACCTAAATCACAATGGAAACGAAAGCAGTACCACCCCATCAACCAGCCAAAATTGTACTGGGACAAGCACCGCTGCTATGACAGAGGCTGAAAGGAGTCTCCTCCAGGCAGAGGCGCGACGATTGGCATCTGGTTGTCAGCGTGCTACACGTGTAGGTTGGGCTCCTGATGAAGCCCTACGTTCGTTATCCAACAGCTTCAGTGCACTGGTTCAGTTGTCTGCCGCCTGCTTGCGAACAAACCCATGCCCTGGCTGTGAAATCTGCCATGATGAGAGTCTGCTCCACAGAGATGAGGACGATGACAGCCAGGAACCCATGGACAAGCTGAAGGAGATTGTGGGTTTGTACCGGGAGTTTGTTGGGGCTGTTGAGACAGCTGGTACTGGTGCTGGGATGAAAAGTGTGGGCCTCACTGGGTTGGGACAGGGTCACGGTGAGACTGATGGGGTGAGGCTACTAGCCAAACGCTGCACAGTACTCATTTCGTCTGTATTCGCACTCACACAGCTCTTCCGGACACGCACACTAGAAACCTCAGACACGACTGGACACGTACCTCTTAATTTTTGACTTGTGAACTTAACCCACTAATAACTCATTGAATCTTGAGGTGATACAAGAGTAAACTGCACAGAGCCATCTGGTGTGTAACCCCTGTGTTCTTGTACAGTAAGTGCCATGCACACCACAGCACACAAACTGTATCCCGTATTACACAGACCCACATGAAAAGACACAACAAACAAAAACCCGAACGAATAAGAGGAAACTTCATTGCTTGTCCTCTTCTTGGAAGCATATGGACTATGCATTTGTACATATGAATTTTATAATTCTCTTATTTTATGATACTGTATGTGTATGTATGTAAGGACGGATTGCCCATTTATGTATTTATGTATTTATTTTTACAATATTTGCACCACGGTCTGTGATGTGCAGGTCTCTGGTGAAAAAGAAACTATGGATGTCACTGGAATTTTTATTTTCTCCTTCTCTTTGAGACAGTATTAAGTTATCTTTTGCTGCTTTAAAAATTTCCTCTACTCAAGGTGTAATCTGTAAATTGTCATTTTTAAAGTTTAGTAAAACAGTATGTTTTGCTAAATGCAGAAAATATACTTTACTACACTCTTGCAATATACAGTAATTAACTGATTTGTTTTATATGTGCAGCGACTGCACCTTTTAAAGGATTTAGTTTTATAACATAACAGTCAAATATAAAGGGGACACAAAACTCAACCATAACAAAGCAGGGAGAGCACTTTGACTGTTACAGATTGCACCTTTTTACGAGACATATTCCCTTGTGTAAAGTGTTTTTTTCTATCCCTTCTCATTCTGGAATTACTTTTAAGTGAATGCTTCTTGGAAATTCTCCCGTTACCCAGACGTATGCAGTATTATAACGTTCAAGTTTTCATCCAAAGGACATGACACATACACTATATTTTCTGGGAATGTGTGGATGAGGCCAAGGAATCAAAACAGGGGACCTTATTTGTGTTGTTTAAAAATGTTTTTTGAAAACTGGTTTTGGCACAAGAGAGACTGTTAAACTATGTCCAGATGTAGCAGAGATCCAAAGTCTTAAAACACTGAGCCACAACTGTTTTCCACTAGGAATTCCTCTTAGGTCGCACCACCATATTGATATCATACTGACTGACAAATGGACTGACTGCTGTATGCTGGAGTCAGAACTGTAGATACATATTTATATCTTTGTGTCCTATTCCTTCTCTACTTTCATTTATGGCTATGCAAACATAAACTCTTCACCCCCACATACTGTATTCTTGTTTTTTTGTGCTAACATTGAAAACAACTATGGCTGCATTATGTTTGTCTGAATATAATGGGGGCTTTCTTTGTTTGGAATGTTGGCTTTTGTCTTGTTTTGGGAAAATGTAATGCATTATGGATTGCAACATTTTGAAACAAGTTGCATGGCATTTGTCAATTTAAAGACTCCTGTCTATACTGATGTCTGAATATTGTTAGTAAAAGGGTGACATTGCTTGATCAGTTTGCTGATGTACAGTTTTCACCAATCAGCTTGTCCACATAACATGATGACAACTCATTTAGTGAGTCATCCTATTTTCTTGATAACAAGAAGGCAATTAAGTCTCAGTGCTTATGCAAGTATGATAATAGCATTAGCTGAGCGAGGACCTGATTAGGAAGCTGATGAGGAGGTATGTAGTTAAATGAATCCTCCTAATAGATGACAGTGGGAAGCTTTGTCAAGATGGCCGTGCTTAAAAAGGTTACTCCCCGGGGGATCAGATTTCAGAGCTTCCAGTTGTATTGGTGGTTATGTCCAGTAGCAGTGTCCATGACTTCACTAACATCAAGAGATAGGTGTCAGAAGCATTTCTTGTTGTTCATCACAAAGGCCCAAACAGGGCAGAATAGCCTGTGACACATTTTTTTTCTTTTTCCTGTGAGTAAAAATTGTGTTAACAGTATTTAATTTCCAAAGCAGCCATGTGTTTCTACAGTACACCAACAGTCACCTTTTCCTTACCCACGTACAATAAAGTCAATGTACTAAGAAATGTATTGTTTGGGAATAAATTGCACATTGACCCAAACTATGGTGACTGTCTGGATGTTTTGGTTTAGTGTGTGGGACAGTTTATCACTAGTTGTACTAACTTAAAGTGTTTATATCTTCTTCCCTGAAAGGTGCGCCTACAAAGAGATCGGAAGACAAAATATTTACCATCCAAAAACCAAGGGAGAAATATGTTAGCAACAGTTGGTACCATGACTAATACTGGCATTGAGGATTATTGGGGGATTTCCCAGCAAAGAGTTGTACTTCCACAAAGTCAGATTATCATGCACTAGGAATATCTCTCTTTAAACAGCAGAACAGCTGAATTAAAACAACATGGCCACTTTCCATTATGAAAAATGATTTGTTAAACGCTAAATTGGGATTGAAAATACAAATATTTCACATAAAATGCCAGTTGGAAAGAAATTTGTGAGGGCTAAAATAAACTGCATGTGAGATGAGGCTTTGACAGTGCAGCAGCTCGACTCTGCCTGATCCAAAGTCCATGTCAGATTGCCCTTAATCTGATCATTATCTGCGGCCTGACTTCTTGACACAGAAATCTAGAAAGTCGGCTCTGCACTTTTGCCAATGTGGAAGAAAACGTGGTCTGACAGTGTAGTGCTGCTGAGAGAGTCAAGATTGATCAAATGCACACTGTAAAACACAGAAAGAGGTTATGACCAAGACAGTAGAAGTTAAATACTGCACCGTCAAGTGTTACTTTTGTTAAACCTGAACACAATTCATTTTATTTTTGCGTTTGTGTGGTTGTTGTCAAAGAAGGGATGATGGTGCATGTTTGGTAAGAGTACTGCAGTACAGAAGTGATGTCATTGTAAAGTATTAGTCACAAGTTGGAATGGCACTGCAGACACACAGACGCTATTCAGTTTCATGTAAAGTCTTTGTGACTTGAGTAAAATATCATTAGTCTTTTTTGTGTTAAATTTCACTTATTCTTGGAGAAAATTAGTCAATCACAAATGTATTATCAGAAACAGCCACATTACAAATATCTGTCCACACTTTTAATGGGTTGACTTCAACATTTCATGTGGTTGCAACTTTCACAAACCGTTTTTAATGGAGTTTTGGTGATTTGTGCTTCTGAGATAAGTGTTTTACATAGACAGCAACATTACATTTCTGCAAGGGTGTCCTACTTTCAAAGCCTGAGTCACAACAAAGTCTTTCACAAGATCCTGAAAAAAAAAAGTTCATGAAACGCGACTGTGGACAGTCATAATAAAAAAGAGCTGAAGAAATAGGCCAAGTGATCCATTTACATGGCAGCTTGAGCTTTTTGTGCCAGTGAACATTACCCTTTGCGCCTGTCTTCTTTCAGCACCATTACTGTTCATTCTCTCTCTCAGTGTCCGAGCAGCATGCCTTTCCTCTTCGGGCTGTCGTATCCCAGCCAGAGCGGCTGCGTAGTGACTGCCTCTACTCAAGCTTGAAATCTGAGCCCATTATGTCAACAGATGTTACAGACAGAGAGGAGAGCAAGCGTGAGATAAGTAACAGTGTCAAAGAATGAGCAGAGGAGGACAGATAGATGGATTAAACATGAGATTTTAAATTTTGTTTTGAAAAAAAAAAAAAAAAAAATCATTAATAAAATAAAGTTGAGAGTAAATAACTACATAAAAGCTGAAAATGAAAAAGAAAAAGGTGCAATTTAGAATTTAGAAATTTAAAATAATTTCTCTCCTTTCCAATAAATTATAAACAAAAATATATTTATGCTGTTTAAAATAGCCTGTCTGTGTTTGCTAGAAGGTTTTTTTCAAAGAACACTCATAAGCATTTCAGTTATTATGAGTATAAATCTTGTCATCTCACATTTATTAGCTGATTAAGATAAAGGGGAAAAAAAGAAAAATGATGCCAACACTTGATTTGACAGTGACTTGGGGCATTTAAATTGACAAAAAGTACAAAAGTCTTTCAGTTATGTAGCAGATCACAACCTCTGACAGAAAGTGCTCTTGGTCAAACAGATAGACAGAACACCACAGCACACAGCACATATAAAGAAACAGAGTCTCCTACAAAACAGAATACACTCAAGTAACCTTTGATTGAAATAGTGGAGGTGGGGGGGGATCACTGAAATTCAGTTTGCTCCCCTTGAATTTTTGTACAGAGCAAACAAGGGCATTCAGTTGGACCCTGGCACAGGTTTATATGTAGGCTTAAGCATGTGTATGGGTTTTTAATACTTTGACAACAGGAAATAGTTACAGCATGTGGCAGGTTGTTTGAACTCAAACTGAGTATTGGCCCCTGTCAGAAGTTCAGCTCCACATCTCTCTCTTTCTCTCTCAGAAACTCCAGACTCACAGCAAAGAGCAAGTGCATTGGCTTCACTTTCGATTTCCTTCCTTCACAACAGACTGATTCTAAACATATTTTTCCCTTTAAATACTTTCTCTTGTTCTTTAGATCTCTATTTTCTCATCTTCATCTCCCTCCCCTCATATTAGCTTGAGCAGCAGCTCGTAGGTGGCGTTGATGATACCCCAGGACAGCAGTGAACGGTGGTAGTTGAGATGGGCCCCTCTAAAGAGCCTGGCCACACTGCAGCCCCTCTCTCTCCACACTGTAAGCAGCACCTGTCTGCAAGGCTGGAAAGCTCCACCGACCTGAGACTGAGCTCGGGACTTTACCACGTTTAATGGATAGAACATAATGCCAAGGGCTGCCCCTAACAACCCTCCACACACAAAATCATTAACCATGTGGCCAGCCCAGCTAGAGGCCTCTGGGAGCTGCTCCTTAATGGGTCCACGCAGCCCGAAAAAGAGCACATTGCTCGGGCCATTACGGAGGAGTATGGGCACGAGGCCACGGTAGCATTCACTGACACCATGCTGTGTCAGAAGTGTTCGGAAGGTGTGAGCTGTGTTGTTGAAGCGGTCATGGTGCCGATGGTCTTGAAGGAGAGTCTGCACGCGCTCAAACGGTGTCAAGATGGCCTCTGCAGTTCCTGCTAATGCTGCAGCAAAGCTTCGTGTGACCAGCTCTGGCAAACCACTACCACGTGCCTGTTCCAGTAAGACTCTGGAGAAGTCCTGGTACAGCCCAAACATGATGGCCACCGTAGTGCTTTTCTGGAGCAGTGGGGGCAGCAGGCCCCGGTAAAGATTTCTCAGCCCATCCCTCTGAAGCTGTCGTACCGCCTCTGTGGCCAGAACACCATGGAGCTGCTGGCGGAACAGCAGCTTCTGGATGGGGAAAGTCACCATGATGTTAGTAAAAGCTGCGACAGAACCGCAGACATAATGCTTCCCTTGAGGGCCCAGCTTAGCACTCAGGGCACCAACAGGTAGCAGGGAGCGCCCTCCTTTGGTCAGGGCAGCCTGAGGCTGAGGGGTCCGGGGTGACTCAGAGTCCATGGTGCTTACAGCCATGGGAGGCTCAGCTTTCTATTCTTTTAGCATTGCATCAGCAAGGCAACCTGTAAAAGCGAGAGGAAATTTTATATATAACAACTAAATCCACTTATCTATTTCAAATCATTTTTCTGCCATCATTTGTCTTCATGTGAAAGTATGACAGTATGAGGGGATTGTACACGTGGGATAAAGACAGAGGATAAATGTTCCAAAAGATCCCTTCCTAACACTCATCAACATTTTAGTCAAGAGTAAAAGACATACAATTTGGATTCTAATCAATAATAAAAAACATATATTCCTTGTTTTCATTTTTTTTTTTACATAAATACATTTTTGATAAATTGACAAAAAATGACATGACCAGAATAATAACATCAATACATAAATAACTCACTGGGTCAAATATTTTATTATTCTGTGTCTCTGATACTGATACAATTCATTTTTGAAAATATTCTCATTTATATTTATTTTGTTCAGGGACTAGTTTAATGATCTGTTCATGCTCTTTGTGGGCTTAAACAGATCAAACTGTTAAACCTCAGCCTTCTGCCTTCATCTTGTATGAACAGGTTTCCCAAACCAGCCACTGATAAGAGTTATTACACAACTTAACGGACTGAAGTGGAGAAGAGCTAAACAACTATTAGTGGCAGAGAACACTAGGAGTGAACGTTTAATTCAAATCTGAAAGGATTGTGTTTTTGGATATATCAAGCGTTTAATGTAATACTCCCCCCCCCCCCCAGAAGATTTCTGCCTTTTAATAAGGCAGTTTTTTCTTTCTTACCACTGTAACTTTTGCTGCTTTGCTAAAGTGCTCATAATGGATAGGCCGGATCTTTGTAACATAACAATGAGTAAGGTATTTTACCTGCTCTTTTGTAAAGTGTCTCGACATAACACTTGTTGTGAGTGACGCTATACAAATAAAAATTGATTGATTGATTGATTGATGGTTATCTACCACATAAAATAAATCTGCTACACGTCAAATCAACCATCAAGCAGAAGAAAATAGAAGTTTTAAAAACATTAATAAACCAGATACAATAGTGTAACTGAGCACTTCTTTAGATTAAGCAAGTTGTCAAGAAGTTCTCTAAATATAGATCCAGTAAGGGGTACTCAAAGCAGTTAGGGCACTGGAGGTCACAGTATGTGTGCCAAAATAAAACTACATAAGATCCTCAACACACTGCCACATGGTGCTGATATTAAGGAGCTTGTTTTTTTATTTTGAAAGACGATACAATGAAACCATATCACACCACACTGGATGGTTTTAGTCCCATTAACTAAGTGCAAATACCTCTGTTATGGATACTTGCTTAATGCATGTTGGATTAACACTAGAGCTATGCTGTATAGTATTTATGTTGTGCAGGAAGTGCTTCCTATATCCCTATTACAGACAACATTAATAGTGAAACTGCAACAACCATGTATTGATACTGAAAGTCTTAATGAATCAATAGATTGAAGCAGAAGACTACAACACATTATTATTCAATAGTTAAACCTTTAGCATACACGCCCTCTGTGCACCGTGCCTGTTGTCCTTACATGCTCCAGGACAGTAATGTTAGGCTAATACAGAAACCAAGGCCTAGTTTCTATTAAGGCTGCCATTACATCAAGGACACGCGATAACTTATATTAATCTGCGTTTTCATAGTTGGCTGAAGATCAACAAAGCACCGTCAGGCTAGCTGTACAACCGAGTGCTAGCCCGATTAGCGAACCAGGCTAGGTGAACAGTCACCTGGCCTGTTCTCGGTTGTATCAATAAACAGTCTTATCTTAAATGTGTAAAAAGTTTAGATAAAGGGCTAACCGAGTGGTCGTGTATTAAGGGCTGCCTGCTTCTGCAAAAAGACTATAATTCATAGCATGCTTCCTGCTTAGCATTATCAGAAGTCAAAACGGGGATTGGAGACTTCGACTGAATATCAAGAGGCTAAAACAAAAACAGTGAATTCATCTTAGAAATCTGTTTTACCTGCTTAGTAATAGTAAACCAGTGGATGTATTGTCCCTGCACGGGAAGAGTGCAAGTATTTCGCAGAGTAATTGGGACACAACTGTAGGTCGTGTCTGGTCTGAAGCCCCCAGCAGCAGGTGACAGCAGCAAGCCACAGGGCGTCTTCAGCGCATGCGCAGTATCGCATGATTTGAGAGCGCATAGGGATGGAGTTGCTTCTAAATGTCGGAGAGCTTCTTTAAACAGTTTTACGCTTTAGTTATTTTTTTTATTTTTTTTACGGTGTAACAGTGTAAGATACTGTAAGGTTGATTGTTTTTGGGTTGGTTTGAAATGAAATAAAACGTCCCAAATTACTATTTTTTTCGTGTGGTTGCGGTGCGACCATAAGACTGTAGGGTGCGACTAAGTAGGCAGTGCTTGAGTGTTGGTCGTAAAGCAGGTTGAAACGTAGTTTTTACGACAGAAATGTGACGTAAATGTCGTAATTCAGTTGTGTCGGTAAGGAAAAAAAATAGCTTTAATAGACATTATTTTAGCGATTGAACTACTTTTCCTTTTCAGAATCTGTCACACATTTATAATATCACTGGATATCAGAGCATTGTGTTGTTAATATTTCAAGGCAAGATGTCAGGTGAATGTCACAAAGCCAGTGCTAACTAGGTAGCCCTGTTGCTAGCTGATTTCCTACACTTGTTTTTGCACAGAAAGGCTTCTTGAGCGAGTGAATGAACCGTGTGTAGATGTCGTTACGTGCGTTACACTGAAAGCTCTGGTCTTGTAAAATGTCAGCGCAAAAAGACTGTGAGTTTTTGGTGAAAAGAGCCCGAGAGTTGGTCTCAGATGACCCTTGTGCGGCGAAAGCCTGGCTAATAACTGCAAGAACCCTTTACCCTGCAGATTTCAACATACAGGTGACAGTAGTTTTTAATATTATCACGCGTGAATCCTTTTGGTGATGTTAAATAATTTCGACTTTGTGTTTTCCCAGTATGAAATGTACATCATTGAACGCAACGCAGAGAGGACAGCATCTGCAGGGAGGCTGCTTTATGACATGTGAGTTTATAATAATGCTGAGTCTGAGCTGGCCATTTCTCTGTTTGTTTGTTTGTTTTAGCTGATTTATTTTTCTTATTTTTTACTTATTTATATATTTATTTTTATTTATTTATTTGTATTCATTTTTTTTAATTATTTTATTATTTTTATTAATTAATTAATTTTTATTTATTTATTTATTTGTATTCATTTTTTCATTTTATTTTATTTTTATTTTTTCTATTCATTATTTATTTATTTTTATTTATTTATTTTTATTTATTTATTTTTTAGCACACATATAAGAATACATCAAAATAGGATTAACAAAAACATAAAAGGTGTGTCAGGAGAGGTCAAGAAGCCAACAGGCTTATATAAGGGACCTCACCTCTTAAGAGACAAATAAATCAACTAAACAAATCGAATTACACAATTTCATTCATTTCATTTCATTAAATATAAACACATATACAGTAACCTATACACGTATTCATACACACACACTTAGACACATACATACAATAGAAAGACTGAGAATGTTAACCCTCTATCAGCTAAATGGAACAGGCATTGATCTATTAAAAATGGAGTGAATGAGTGAGTTGATGGAAAAAAAAGAAAACAATATATTTTATATATGCAAAAGTTTGACCTCATGGATTAAATGTGAAGACAGTTTCCTTTTAAAAAATGTGCTTTTATTTGCATCTCCTCTTCTATGCTGTGAGCTCGACCTCACTGTAAATGAGGGAAATCTCAGTGTCTTTCGAGTTAAAATAAAGGTTTTGAATTGAGTTGAATTGACAATGGTTTGCATATCCTGTAGGTTCCTAAACTTTCCAGATCAGCCCATTGTATGGCGGGAGATCAGTGTCATCACCGCTGCCCTGCGTAGTGACGCTCAGGACAAACATGCTCAGTTTTTACGAGGTGAGATTGTTCTTACTGCTCTTGAGGTACATAGACCACATATGTGATAATGCATTACAGCAGTGGTTCTCAACTTTTTGTTCGTAGCCCAAAAGGGGGATGCAGACCCGTTTTCAGTTGTGAATAGTGCCTGGAAAGAATTGTCAAAAACTGACTGAGTTGTAAATGACACCTTTATTTTATTAAATTAATCTGACAGGATGAAAAAATATATCTGAAAATTGGTCCTGAGGCTTGACGAGTTGAGAACCACTGCATTAAAGCATCCTTACTGATAGGGAAGTGATATTGAAGTGTGGGAGCAATGGCTGTGTGTTTTGTAATTCTGAAATATTCTTTTTTTTTTTTCTGTCCATGTGTGTTTATTCCCTCCCAGGGCTATTTGAGACACTTCCTGGTCGTGTGCAGTGTGAGATGCTACTGAAAGCCACAGAGCAGTGTTTCAACACTTTGGAGAAGGCGGAGATGCTACTCCTCCTTCTTAAGCGCTTTCCGGAGTCAGTAGTTCAACACGGGGTAAGTACCAATACTTTAGACATGATTGTTTACAAACGAACCTGGAATAAATACAACTTAAACGATCACTGCCAACATTCGACTGTATGTTTAGGTAAATTTAGGAGAAACCTTGTTAGAGGCGGAGGCATCAGAGAATGTGGAGACTCCGGTTAACTGCTTTAGGAAACTCTTTGGTGAGTGACCCCCTCATAAAAATGTTGCTTATTATTAAATAAAGAAAAAGACAAAAACACTTGTCATATTTTATCATTGGAACACTTTTTCTTTGTTTTTACTCCAGTGTGTGATGTCCTTCCCTTGGTCATAAACAACATGGACATGCGCTTGCCAGCCAGCCTTATGCAGAATTATATGCTGAAAGCCGCTGAATTCTATATCGGTTATGTCACCCGTGGACCCTCACCTGATGTACAGATACAGGGTAAGGCTTCTTTTAGTGCTAGCCCAGTGATATAACTTGAAATGAAACCCTAACTCTTCAGTATTCTTTATTTCCATACTTTTCTATTTATTACCTTCCAGCCTAACAGTTTTTCAAATTCATCTTGTTAAGGGTCCCAAGAGGGCAGTTCCCTGAAGTCGCCCACCGTGTCTCGTGGTTCCCAGCGATATGTGATTGATGGCTTGTCAGAAAAGTCATCAGTGGTGGCAGAACCTTGGGAGAGGCTGTTGGACATACTTGCTGTGGTCGGAGCCCGCTGCGAGTGGCAGGGAGACAAGGGACAGAGGTAATCTACTATCAGCCTGTCAATCAACCAGAGCTGTGTTGCAGTTGTTTTTAATTCCGGGGATTCTTCACGTGCATTTATAACATCAGTCCAATCAATTATTGAATATGTAGAAAACCCAGTTTGAATTAATGCAGTCTAATACAACATTCCAGCAATCATTCCTACATTCTTAGAGTCACGATGTACATTTGTGTTAAAAGAGATGATCTTACTCTGTGATCATTTTAATAGATTTAGTTTTTTTTACAGGTGAAATTTGTTGTTATATTGTGAGCTGTTTGCAGGATATCGTCTTTTGAATAGATCAGAGTCACAACAGATAATAATTAGATAAACACATTGCTTTATAGTAGTGTAGGGTTAGTGTAGTTGCTCTGGTTTACTACATTTATGTAAAAATATACTCCATCACATACTGTAAGCCATTAAACATAAAAACAAATACTTTAGTTAAATCTTCCAAAATATAATTAGCAGAATGCTACATCAAATGATTTCTTACAAAATGTCCAAATGGTGTTTTCATCATGTCATGATGAGTTTGTTATAATGTGAGACATTCAGAAAGAGATTGTTTCTTGATGCTTTTAGAAGATTAACAAAAGGGGCGCCTGTACAGAGGGTGTGGTCCTCGAAGCGGGCAGCCTAGGTTCAACTCTTACCTGCTTATTATTCTGCAATCCCACTCCGTCTACTGTCCTTTTGTCTAAAATAAAGGCAATAATCAGTCTAATTCATTCTGTGTGTGTGTGTGTGTGTGTAATGTCATTGTTGTAGGAGTTATGTGGACATGCTGCAGAGAGTGAAGGAGCTGTGTCGCTACCTGCCTGGTCTCGAAGGAGACACAAGATCGCGCTGCTGCAGCCAAGTGGTCATTTGTGCTGCGCTTGTGCTCTTCCGCAGCGCCTTCCTCTACGTCTCAGCTGTACAGCCTGCACTGTTCCAGGGTCAGAGTTCGTCTTTGTATGCACACATAGTTCCCTTCCTGTCATTCATCTTCGTTGTCCTGAAGACGAAAGGTTACTTGATGTGTTTCATGTTTTGCAGGTGTGAATGCGTTGAGTTCTGGGCCGTGGATTCTTGTAGAGGATTTGAGTTCGGTGTATAATGACATGGAAGTGGAAAGAGGAGCAGCTAAACATGTTCATAAGAAACGTAAACTGGCTGATGGAAGGGAGAAGACAATGGTGAGGACACATTCAGGAATCACTGACATGTTTCAGTCATTATTGTGAGAGCAAAGCAAATTTGACAGATCACTTTCAGAGTGTAAGGTTTCTGTGTGTGCACTCAAACAGTTTTGACTCAAGCGTGTATTCAGACGTATCTGAAAATATACTTTCTATGTCTGTGTGACTGTAGAGCTCAGATGATGAAGAAGGCTTGGGAAAAGGTCGAGGTCGACACATTTTAGTGAACAAGACTGAGATGCCCAGCTGGTCAGAGACTCTAGACAGCTTCCGCACGGCCAGGGAAAGCTGGGACCTTCTTCACTCCCACGACGGCCTGGAAACAGGTTATTCCCCTTTTCTTTATATATGCATTGCTTTGGACACTAAGATAGGATCAAGTCACTTCTACTGCGGTTCTTAAAAATACAACTTGTAAAATTGTCTTCCCTTCATTTCTTTATTTATAAAAATGAATAAAGTGGGGGAGAAATCTTTGCATGTAACCTTTTCCTTTTATAGAGTTTAAGAAGATCTGCGGCACCTGGAAGACGGACAGCTGGCTGTGGTTCAGAATATTCCTCACAGACATGATCATATACCAGGCAAGAAACAGTTACAATGTTTTCATTCTGATGCCCTTTCACAGTATCTTTTGGTCTGTACTTTTGAAAGTATTTTATCTGATTTTATTTGTTTATTTATTATGATTAATTTGGGGCCTTTATTTGGATAGGACAGTGGATAGTGTAGGAAAGGAGCTGCAGGTCAGACTCGAATCCAGGCCGCTGGCTTGGAGGACTACAGCCTCCGTTCATGCGGTGCACTCTAATCGCAAGGCCATCTGCGTCCCCAAGCATTTCATTTTTTAAAAACTGGATAACATAAAACTATGTCCTTTAGTTTAAATGTAGTAATTGAATAAGCAGCAAATAACTGTGTATAGCTATATTTAATATTATTATTATCTTTTTAAATAATGCAATCTCCTAGGATCTGTTATTGTTGTAATGTGTTGTGTGATTTTATGCTGATTAATAGTGTGTGTCTCCAGGGTCAGTACCGTAAGGCCCTCTCCAGCCTGCACCAGATGGCTGCAGTGCAGCAGCCTCAGCCTGGGCAGCAAAGCCCCTCCGGTCAGGCCAGCCTGGAGCACCACAGGGCCCTCATACAGCAGGCCTCCTGCCATTATGCACTGGGAGAGCACAGGGTAAACACACAGACACCACACGCACACAAACATACAGACCCGGCATTCCTCTAAGCTGCGTGTGAACCATGCATGCACTATTACATGTTGCAAATCGCTTCGTTTCTCTGTCCCATTTTCTTATTTCTCAATGAACACCTTGCTCTGTATTTTAACTGTTGGTTTGACGTATTCTCCTTTTTGTACCACATTGAGATTTACAGTCTCTGTAATTACCATACCATACTATACATCCAGTGCTGCACACATTTACTGTAGCTGCCTCCACTTATTTTAATATCTTTTCTTCATGTTTTGATTGCTGTTGACTTGTTTTTATCATATTGTGCCCAAAACATAAATCACTGACATCAACTGACCTGTAGATGGTGTACACGTTACGGTCAATTTAAAAATAAATTCAACTGCATATAGTTGTTTTAGTTGATATGACAGTTCTAGTTTTGTATTACACTTTAATGCAGAGTTTCTTAATCAAGCTAAAAATTCAATCAGTTGTATTAACTGATTTGTATTCCTATAACATTTATCAAGCACATGCTCCAAAATATTTGTTGACAACTTCTTGAAATGTGTTAGTATATATGTGTAATAGCCCTGCCCTGTATACACACATGTTACACTGTTCATATTGTATTCAATCTATAAATCAGATGGCCTGCGAGAAGCTGCTCGATGTAGTCAGTGGGCTGGTGCCTCCAAACAAAGAACCGACAAAGAGCCAAGAAGATAAGGGTAGAGGCAAGACCAAAACAAGGAAAGGTAAACACCTAAAGCTTTTGTCAAACAACATTCTGTCAGTGTTTTTTTGATCTATGAACGTCTGTGTAAAATGGACTTATATTATAATTTTTATAATGTGGAAAAAAGTTAACAATGTGTTTCTGCATATTGACACAGTTTAATAGTAGCAGTAGTAAATCTGTATCAACATCACAAGCAAACTGCTGGTTACCTTTGTAAGTTAGATATGAACAAAAACTCACAACTTTGCTTTAACTGCTGTTATAAATGACACCATTTATGATGTGATGTAGAACATATCAGAACAATTTCAACAACAGCACTCATTTTGTCAACCAGGTAATGACCTGAGATTGCTGCCCTGCACCAGCAAAGCTGTTTTACCTTTCTGCCTCCAGATGATGCTTGCCTGCTTCAAGGTACTGTAACAAGTAAAGTCTGTTTAACTGCATGAAACTACGGTTATCTTATTTTTATACTTGGACTGAGATAAGTAGCACTAATTGTGCTGTTGTTTTTTGCTTGAATATTTGGATTCTTAAAAGTTTAAAACCCACTTCATCTCTTTTTCTTTCATCCATGTAGCTCCGTGCCTTCACAGACAGCCGGGACGACCTGTCCCTTGGTCATGTGGTGGTGCTGCTGCAGCATGACTGGCCTCAGGGCGAGATGCTGTTTTTAAAGGCAGTAGATAAGATCTGTCAGCAAGGCGGCCTCCAATATGAGAATTTCTTCAACTATGTCACCAGTATCCTTTTTTACCCACACCTCAATAATACTCTGAGATGGTCATGCCTTGTTCTCTTATCAATCCTGTCAAACACGCACAGCTGGCCAAACAAAGAGAAGAGCAGGGAACTTGTTCCAAATGCGTTGTCAATTAATGTCTGGTTGGAGCTTCAAAATGTTGTCTGCCAGAGGTGTTTATATATGTAGGACCGGAAAACAAGAAAAGCAAACAAAAAAGTATGAAAACACAGATGGGGAGTGATCTTGTCTTCACAACACAGATATTAATTTATAAAAAAATATGACAGGCCTATGGCGAGTTGGATAGTTTTTCAATTTTTCCCAAAGTGAATCAAACTGTTCCAGTTTATGATTGACAAATGCTTTTATCCTCTCCATTTTGTAGATGTCCATCATAATTTCCATCATTGCATTTAGCTTCTATAACAGCCATGTCCTGTCTTTCTACCAGCCACCATTATTAAGGATTTTCTCTTCAGCCATTATGGTATAGGGTCTTACAATCCAAGGAAAAATGTCTTGAAAGGCTTTGTATGCCTTTACAATAGACTCAAGGAGACCTGTTCCCTCGTGTTTACTTTGTCTGTTTTTTTTGTTGAAGTTATTTTCTATAAACTCATGATTTTAACCAGACATCGACATGCTGGAGGAGTTTGCATACCTGCGTACTCCAGAAGGGGGCAGGATTCAGCTGGAGCTGCTACCGAATCAGGGGATGCTCATCAAGTAAGAGTTTCTCATTCAGAATGCTTTGAGTATGCATTGTGACTTGGCACACTCCCGTTTTGTTCCTGTTTTTAAGACATCAGTGCAGTTATTGATGATCTAAATAGACATGGCCTGTGGGGGAAATTGTACTCTGAATAGAAAATGCTGTTAAGGAGCAGGCATTAGAAAAAGAAGGGGGTTTTCTGGTCAAAATAAACCTGTTATTAAACGCCTTCAATCATTGCTGTAAATGTAAAGACAGTTTAATGCACCCTCACTGACGGAGAGTTGTTGAATGTTGCTGTCCCTCAGGAATCCTAGTCCCGCCCTGGGGGTGGAGTTAAATACCCTTCTGCTACAAGGGGTGCAGACGATGGACAGGTACCCCAGGCCCCTCCTCCCACAGTCCCATCCCTCCCCCTACACCAGTCACCCTTCCCTCATTCCCTACTTCAAGGCTTGTCATCCCCCCAGTTTTGATTTGGGCCTGTCATTCTACATCAAGTCGTTCTAGTCGTTCTTTGATTTTCTGTCGGCGTTTGTTACTTTGAGCCATCGCTCGTCTTTCTGTGGTCATCACTGTTGTTGTTGTTATTGTTGTTGTTGTTATTTGCGGATGATGTTGGTCTTTTTGTGCAGCCAGTTGAGTTTTCTGCCTTTTCATAACACTTGATCTCATTTCATTTGTGAACTTGTTTTATGTGTTTTATACTTTATGATGATGATGATGATGATGATGAAGTGTTTGGTGTTTTATATTGACTGGTTGATTTATATAAAGGAAAGAGTGAGTGCCATTTTGTTTTCATAATTTCTTTCTGCTGTATACAGTACTGAGTCTCAGTTAATGATAAATAATAATCTTCTGCCACCTGTATCTTTGTATTTTAATTATAATTTTTCTTTTTTTTTTCTTTCTTTTCCCCCAGACACCACACAGTGACTCGAGGAATCACAAAAGGAGTGAAGGAAGATTTCCGTCTGGCCATGGAGAGGCAGGTGTCGAGGTGTGCGGAGAACCTGTTCAGTGTGCTTCATCGTTTCTGCATCAACGAGAAAATCATCATCATCCAGTCTCTGCCTTGACGTCTTGTTTGTGACTTTTGGACCTTTGCCTAGCTGATGTTTCAGGCACAGTGGAAATGCAGCTAAACTAACTTTGATGCTAACAGCTGCTTACAAACACAGGACATGTTTCTAACTCTCTCTTGTCATCATCCAAACTCGTTACTCGTCTGAAAAAGGTGTCCTTGCCTTCAAAGTTGCCCCCTAACTCAAACGAATACTCGTGCAGTTTTACTGTATGTGTGTAGTTTTCTTCTTACGAAACACATGCTCAACCATATATGGAGTGGTTTAATCATTTTGTGGGAGTCGGTGTTGACAAAGAATTAAGTTCATTTTTTTGTATTGTTAGGTCCAGTTTATTGCTTTTGTTACAAACTTGATGAAATTGTTAGTTTGATGATTTTCAGAAATCAAGGTTTACATCAGTAAAAAAAAATCAGTTCATGTACAGATCTTAGTAAGCTCATAGCTCAATAAAAATGCTCATTTGATAAAGAATATTTGAACATGCACCTCTCCAGTGTTTCCTCTAGCACACACTCTTGTTTTCATTCATCTTCCCACTTCTGTATAATTCTGCTTCCCACAGTTATCCCTCTAGTTCTGTGACTGGTGCATTTGGCAGGTCCGCCTGTAGGGCAGCCCTAAGGTTAGCCCAGAACAGCCTGTGCTTAGCTCTGTCCTGAGGCCACTCCAGGTATGTGTGCCGTTCCATCATGGACTTCAGCTGGTAGTACTTTGATGGGATGAGGTATTGAGGAAGCGGCTCCAGCAGCACCAACACAATGCTCCCTGATCCCTGAACAAGGCGCTGGTGGCTGGCAAAGTACAGCTCATAATGGCACCACTCGCTCTTAACAAAGTGGCCAGACAACACGAACACGGAGCGTTGGCATTTCTCCACGCAGGTGACAATGTTCTCAATAATTGTCTTTCCAGGAACAAAGTTTCTCTCATGATGGCAGATTCGAAGCCCCCCAGCTGGACCCTCGAGGTTAGGAAGAAGAAAATTGTGCACCCAATCTGCATCCTGCTGGCTGTAGGACACAAAAGCATGAAACTCAATGCCCACCAGATCTTCAGGTCGAACTTGCCTTGTCCTGGCGCGATGTTTGGCTCTGGTCCACTGCCAGATCATTCCTATGTACCAGGGAACGTCCAAACAATGACAGAGGGTCAGAATTGTAATAATCAAAGCCACTGATGGGAACAGGATAGTGGCAGCTAGAAGGCCTGCATTACAGGAGATCTCTGGGATCAAGATCTCTTTCAAGGTGGAGTTTCTCATGACCTCTGGATAGGTGCAGTAATAATCCAACGGCCAGCCCAGCAATTCAATTCCTGAGTGACTGTTCTTCTGTTCTGATTTGATTCCCAGATTTATGAAATTCCTCAAAGCACAGGTGCAGTGAATGGGTTTGAACTGACGTCAAGGGTTTTCAGTTTCGGGCAGCTCTCCAGCTGGTTCACTGATGGGGTGTGGAGGGAATTTAACCTCAGCAGAAGAGTATTTATTGAGGGGAAACCATTGCATGGCGGCAGGTCCCGGAGCCTGTTGAAATTCAGATTCAGAGATGAAAGGTTTGATAGTTTCATGATGGATGATGGTATTACCAATATCTGGTTGTTCTGGAGATCCAGTGTCTCTGTTCCATTTGGAAGACATTTAAAAACAGAGTCTGTTAGTCCATTCGAGGAAAGAGTCATATTGGTGATGCTTGGTGGCCAGGAACATTCCTTCAAACCATCATATACCAGAGAGTTAATGCTGAGATCCACTTCTCTCAGGGATGACATGTGTTTCAAACGTTTGCTAATGACCTGAAGGCTCATGAGATTGTTTCCTAGCAAATTCAGTCTCCTAATATTAACCAAAGTCTCACAGTCGACAGTTTCTTGACCCTCCACTCGGGAGAAGATCGAGTCAGAGAGAGCACAATAGGAGAAGTCCAGGTGGAGGAGGGGACTGTGTGACTGTGGACATGTCATGTGTATGATTGAAACTTCGAGCAAAGCTACACTCTCCACTGGCAAGTTGATGAAAAAGTTGTATACATCCTCCTGTGAAAAAAGAAAAGACGTCACTACCACCCGCCTGGCTGTGAAGGACTTCATTTGAGATGTCTTGGCCACAGCTGTTCCTTTATAAGGTAATTTGGATAGGGTCACATCACAGAAGCTTAAATGAGCAATAGATGTAGCCAGAACTTCATTTACAGTGTCAGTTAAGTCATCCCAGGTGATTGACAAGTTGGTTAGATAAAGATGAGATGTGTGGATTTCTTCTCCCTCCTTGAACAGTCTAATCATATCTTGGTAGCCATCCAACAAATTCATCAACTCCACTTCAGGAAAGACCGACACAGCATCAGCTAACAGATCATGGTCAATTATTTGATATTTAGTAAAGGAAATCTGAAGCCTTTTGGCATGAGCTTGCCTCAGGCTTCCTGCTTCATATTTCAGCTCATCCTCCAGGGAAAGGGTCAGCGTATGTAGTTTCACTGCAGCAATGCTTTTGAAATCACCCATACAGATGTTCTTGGCTCCAATTGCAAATCTCTCCAGATTTACCAAGGAGATGAACTCACTGCCAAGTGTCATCGCGAGGAACTGGTTGGAGGTCAAATTAAGTACCTGGAGATTCTGAGTATAGAGCAGGTACTGCTGGCCTGACAGGTTCCTCAGCCTGTTGTGTGACAGGTCCAGCTCTTTCAGGAGTGGTGTGTCCAGAAACGTCTCTGTGTCAATCTCCTCCAAACTATTCCATGAGATGTTCAGGACCTCAGGAAGGGTGTGTGTTTGAAGTCTCCATGGTGAAGATGCTGTATGTGGTTGCATGAAAGGTCTAAAAACTCAACCGTCTGTGTCAGATCCTGTGGGACCGAGGAGAGGTTCTTGGATGAGCGGTCCACAAAGCTGTCAGGGAATGAAGCGCCCAGCTGGAGCCCCATAAACATGGCTCCCACCCAGAGGACAACCGCCAGGGGCTGCATTGTTTTTCTGGATAAAGTCAGAACATTGACAGCTTTATTATTTATGATACAATCTCTCAGATGTCAGTTAACTAACTAAACCTGAGGGTGAGGGAGAGGTTATGCAGCCTCTTACAAGCCAGAAAAAGTTCTTAAATTATTCCAACCTATATGTAGGTTAAATTGTTTGACAGGTCCCAAAGATGGGGATCATTTTTGTAATTCATCAGCTTGTGAATTACCACCGACCTCTAAAGAAATGATTACTCATGATTGCAAATTAAGATTTGATTATTCATTTATAAACCGTGTTTTGACTTCTCAGTCTGAACTTATTAAATCGACAAAAACGATTATTGAATGTTTTCAGTGTAGTAAAGTAAAAAATAACAGCCTATTTACATTTAATTTGCAGTGCAATGGAAAAAGCAAAAAAAAAAGCGCAGCTGTAGCTGAATAAATGTAGGCTATGTATAGTTACCGTATTTTCCGCACTATAAGGCGCACCTTCAATGAATGGCCTATTTTAGAACTGTTTTCATATATAGGGCGCACCGGATTATAAGGCGCATAGAATAGAACGTGTTTACAACTGAACAAGGCTGGGAGATATTGTGAATATATAAATATAAATATATAATATATAATATAAAACGTAGTTTTATACGTAGTGCATTCACAATAACTCAACGTTGTTCAAACGTTAATGTGCATATTCACAATATCTCCCAGCCTTGTTCAGTTGTAAACACGTAAAAGAAACACAGTCTGATACCACTAATTCAAACGTTAGTGCATAACTCAACATTGTTCAGTTACGTATAACACGTAAAGCTCACTTTTTCAGTTCATTCCCCGTCCACGAATCCCTCGAATTCTTCTTCTTCAGTGTCCGAATTGAACAGTTGGGCGAGTACAGCATCCAACATGCCCGGCTCCCTCTCGTCATTATCCGAGTCAGTGTTGCTGAGCGCCGTGTACAACCAGTATGGATCAACCAATTAACCAATTGATCCATATATAAGGCGCTCCGGATTATAAGGCGCACTGTCGTTTTTTGAGAAAATTAAAGGCTTTTAAGTGCGCCTTATAGTGCGGAAAATACGGTACTTCCTACTATTGATAATTTTTTGTGCTGCAATGTGACATGTGATTGTACTGTATTACATGTGTTTCTGTAATTGAGCATATTCTTAGTAATATACGATGTATATATATGGGGCAGCCATAATAAGAGTAACAAATAATTTTCACAAACAGTCTTTCTGCCTGTGTATAGATCTGTGCTATCTCAATACTGTAGCCTATAATTTGAAATAAATCAAACAAAATCCTAAATAAATACAGATAGCTCTAAAAACTTTCCTAACCCTTATATGGTAAAATGCACTCACCTGTACTGAGGTCAGATGGATCTTTTCAGCAGTACTTTAAATCTACAAAAAATTCCAGATTGAAAAAAGGTGATAAAATGCACCAACAGAGAAAAACAACAACAATTCAACGATAACCCTCAACTCTGAAGACTGTCAGGCTTTGTCGTTCCTCTTTAGTTAGTCTAACAACATTAGCAGATGTTAGTAAAAACAAAGCACTGACAGGAAACCAACACGGAAAAGAAAGTAGCTCTGCCCAGTCATATTATTATCTCTTCTACATCCTCTTTTCACTTCACTTTTTTTGTACACTGAGCTTTTTATGGAGGGTAGGGATGTACTTTTGGATCTTCATGATCACATCCTTGTTGCATAAAACTAGGAAAGAGGAAGTTTCACAGTGTACTTCTGGTTTATGGAATTAAATTATACTTAAACTTCCTGAAACAACAAATCTAATTTGATAGGGGAAAAACCATACCCAATCCCCCCAAACAATTAATCATTTCAAAAGATTTTCTTTAGGTTGATTGTCTTTCAAAGAATTCCAATCCTATTTTCTCCATCATATGAAGAAGTTTCAGTTTGATTTAACAGATACAGCAAAAAAAACAAAAAACATCTAAAGATTGATCCTTTCCCTACTGGCTCAAACGTTTACCTATGTTTTATATCAAGAACACTCTCTTATATATTGATCTCTGTGATAGAGGTCCTCTTGTAAGGATGTCGTGAGTTGCTTGAAGGACAGATTAGAAACTAATCGAATTGCTTATAGGCTTTTATCCTGTAGTATCATTGCGACCACACTGAGGTCAGTCAGGGTAGTGAATGTCCATTTCCCAACTCAATTAACTTAACCCACTAATGTTTTGAAGGAGGGTGTTTCAAATGCAACCACACTGTTTCCTCTAATCAGCTATAGACCCCGCCTTTGATGACTAAGGATGGAGAATGAGCTTATTAATAGGGTGTGACCTGTTTTAATGTGACTGAGAGGCTTAAATAAAAGACAGACACACAAACCCATGCAGCACACACACTTCCCTGCAATGTTTGTGTTCTAGCAGCACTTCTGTTTCCTCGGGGCGGAAAACATAACTCACCCGACAAGTGGAGCTAAATTCAATAAGCTGTTATTTGCTGG